TCCTTCTCCAGCCCCCCCAGAAGGTCCCCATCTTCCTCTTCCTCCTCTTCCTCCTCCTCCTCTTCCTCCTTCTCCCCTGCCGGGGGCTCCTGGGGCACAGGGGGGTCTGGGGGAGCCTTCGCTGGCGTCTCCTCCTCCTCCTCCCTCGCCTTCTCCTTGGCCTGGAGGAAGAGGGAAGGTTCTCGAGAAGGTGCCCCCCCCTCCAAATGCTGAGGGGGGGGTCACTGAGGGGATGGAGGAGCCGCCTGTCCCTGTGTCCCCCCCGGGGGTGTCCCCCACCTTCTTGGTGCTCTCCTTCAGCTCCTCCAGGAACTGGAGCAGGTCCCCGGGGCTCCGGATCACCTTGAAATGGATCTTTTTCCGTGGGTCTGCTGGGGGGACACACACACACACACCAAAAGGGTTAGTGAGGGGGGGGGCAAGGATGGGGACAACAGATGCTCCCCCCATCCCCGTAGGGGACACAGAAAGGCCAGGGGGGGACTCCAGGGTCTTGGGGGGCAAGGATGGGGACAATGGAGGCCCCTGGCACATGCAAGGGACACAGAGAGGCCGGGGGGGGGCCACCAAAAGGGTTGGGGGGGGGCAAGGATGGGGACAGCAGAGGGGCCCCCCCCCCATAGGGGACACCACAGATGCCGGGGAGGGCCACCAAAAGGGTTGGGGCGGGCAAGGATGGGGACAGCAGAGGGCCGCCCCCCCATAGGGGACACAGAGAGGCCACCCCGCGGGGGACTCACCGGCCGCCTGGCCACCGGCCACCTTTGGGGACGGCTCCTCGGCCTGCAGGAAGGAGACGGGGTGAGGGAGCCCCTTGTGGGGTGACACCCCCCGGCTGGTGGCCACCGGGGCCGCTGGGGACTCACCCTGGCACTGGCCGGCTGGCCTTCGGCCTCCCCCGTCACCCCCTCCTCGGCCGGCTCCGGCTCGTCCCCCGGCGCCGCTGGGACGGGAGGGGACACACGGGTGGCACCCCGATGGAAGGGACGTGGGGTGTCACCAGGG